TCTTCCCAGCATGTGAGAGTCCAGGCTGCAGAGTGGATGTTCTATGTGGAAACGCTTGCTTTCAAACCTTTCAAAGCTGTATGGATCCCAACAGAGCCTCCTACAAGTGGTGGACTGCCAGCATCACAGATTCCATTAGGGAATTCCTTCCTCCTGTTTCCCAGGCACCACATGCAGGAGACTTTCTCCACTGAGTGGATCTCACAGATGACACCTGGCCCCAGGGGTCCCCAAATGTGATTTGTCCTACAAAATGCCTGGGAAGTGACAATGCTGTTACATATATGGCTGAGCCTCAAACATTTTTGACCCCAAAGAAGCTTTTTAAAAAATGATTTCTCTATTTATCTGAAGGACATAGCTATAGAGGACGCACAGAGAGAGGTACAGAGACAAAAAGAGATCTTTTTTTCTGTGGTTCAGTTGCCAATTGCTGACAACAGTTGGGGTTTGGTCAGGTCAAAGTCTAGAGCCTGTAACTCCATCCAGATCCCACACACGAATGGCAGGAGCCTTAGTGCTTGGGCCATCTTCCACTGCTTTTCCAGATGCATCAAAAGGATTAGATACTGAGCAGTGAGACTCCGATAGGTACTCATATTGGATGCCTGTGTGGTGGTGACTTAACTTGCTGAGCCACAAAACCAGTTCCAAGAAAGCTGTGTTGTAATTTCATCTTTTTGTGAACTTCTTAGACGTCTAATGAACTCCTTATTGGCTAGGAAATGGCTCAGAGGAGAAAGAGAATTAAATTATGTCACAGGGATCCATGGCGATTGTAGCAGTACTTGGTAGACCAAGAATGGCAGAGCCTGGCAAGGGGGAGCTTATTTTTTAATTAATTAACTAATTAATCAATCTTCAGGTTGACATAAAGTAAGATCTTCTGTCTGTTGATTTCTTTCCCAAATGTCTGCAGAGACTGGGGCTCGACTGGGACAGATTTCAGGAGGCAGGAACTCAATGTAGGTCTCTCACATGGGTGGCAGGGATCCAGTTGCTGAGTCATCACTTGTTGCATTAGCAGGAAGTTAGAGACTGAAGTCAGGCCCAGCACTCAAGCTAAGGAGCTAGGCTGTGGGGATGTAGTCATCTTGACTGCTGGGCTAAACCAATCCTCCTTCCCTCTGTCCTTCCCTTCCTTCTCCCTGTCTCCCTCCCTTCCTCCTTCCCTTGGTCTCTCCTCTCATCCTCTGTCTGTCTCCTCCTCCCTGTCTCCCTCCTTTTCTTCCACCTTCTTTCCTTTTTAGTCAACAGAAGGATTTCTTTGTTTCCATTTGTGAATAGAAAGATGTAACTGGATGACACCTGGCCCCAATCCCTTCCATGTTCATTTTGGTGTTCCTCCCTTCTTTCTCTCCATACCTTTACAAATTCTGTGTCTTCCATGAACTCAATACTTTCAGCCTCTTTGCTTCCCTTTTTAGCACTGATGAAAGTCTAGAAGGATCTTAACACAAAACCGATCATTTTCCAAGTGTCTGAATGCTCAGTGGGCTATTGCTAGCTGTGACCAACACACACACACACACACACACACACACACACACACACACACACACACACCCCTAAATACACATGTCTTCATCCATGAATTCCAGGTGGACTGTGGGGTGGGTTAAGATGCTTGGGGGTATTCATGTCTGACCTTGAACTGCTGGTCTAAGAAATTGAACTTAGCAGAATGCAATGGAACTCCCCTACTGGGAATTGGTGGCAGAGGAGCATTCATGATTTTCATTTGCAAAATGATGTTGGAGGTAAAGGTGGGTAACAAGAGCAACAAACTGCTCCAAAATTTGAACGCGATGTATTCTTCAGTCAAGACATTCTCAAGCAACTGAGATACTGGTAACAAATATCGAAATGCAGCAGATTGAGCTTCTGCTTGGGACACTTGCCTCTCCCGTCAAAGCACTGTTTTAGGTCCCAACTAATCCACTTCTGATCCAGTTTCCTGCTAATACACCTGTGGAGCTGCAAAGGATGGCTCAAGTGCCCCATATGAGAGACCAGGATGGAGTTGTAGGCTTTCTGGTTCTAAACTAGCTCAGGCCCAGATGCTGTGGGCATTTGAGGAGTAAGCTAGAGAATGGAAGATCTCTCTATCTCTCTTTCAAGCCAGTGAAAATAAGAAAACATCTTAACAAAATGCAGCAGGTTTTAATCAAACAGATTATTCCCCCTAGACTTGAGTTTCAAAACAGAGATCAACTAGAACTGGCTGTAGGGGAAGGAAGCCGACTGGGCTATAGATGAAAGAGAAGGGAAAGAAGAGAGTACAGAATGTTCAAGAAGATCTGAAGGACATGAAAGGAAGGCTGGTCACAAGGGGATGGCATAGAGCCAACATGCTGCTCTTATTTATTTTTAGATTTATTTATTTTTTATTTGGAAGGCATGGTTGCAGAGAGGAAGGAGAGACAAGAGAGAGATCTCCCATCTGCTGGATCACTCCCTTAAATGTCTGCAAGGGTTGGGGTTGGACCATGAAGCCAGGAGCCTGGAACTCTGTCTGGGTCTCCAGCAGAGTTCCCAGGGGTCCAAGCATGTGAGCCATCTTCTGCTGGTTTCCCAGCTGCATTCGCAGGGAGCTAGACTAGAAGCAGAGAAACTAAGACTCAAACTGGAGCTTGTGTGGCGTGCTGCCCTCACAGGCAGTGGCTTAACCCTGATCTTCACAGTGTTGACTTCAATATGTAGTTTTTATTTTTTTAAGGCAAAAACATTTGAGTGTGCTCACATGCCAGTGCACAGAAAAGCCAGACTGGGGCTAGCAGTGAGATGATGTTTACTGGCCATGAAGAGCCAGGGTGAAGGGTCCAGTGTCCAATCGTGTGGCTCAAGGCCTAGTTTCATTAAATCCCAGCTGGGTTTTGTGTGAGCCAGACAGTGTTTCTACCTGTCTATGCCTCCACCAACTCTCCTGTAACACAGGGTAGCCTTCTTACAGCCTTGATAGCCTTCAGCAGACTGCATGAGAGTTCAATGGCAATGCCACTGGAGCAAGGTCTTTCACTCTATAGTGAAGGTTTTGCTTGATTTGTTTGAATTTTTAGTTAGTAAAAAAAGAAACAATTAGTTTTTTAATAACAGATTTAATGTGATTCCATTGTAGATACAATTGTAAGAACATAATGATATTTGCTTCCTCTCTTCCTTCTCTGTCTGGATTTGACTTATTTCACTGAGAATGGCATCCTCCTGTTGGGCCCATTTTGCTGCAAATGATGGAATTTCATTCATGTTTTTTAATATCCGAATAATAGTTCATTGTGCATAAATGTACGATGTTTTCTCTACCTATTTATCTGATGGTGGACACCCTGATTCATTCCAAATTTTGGCTCCTGTCAACAGTGCTGCCAGAAACATGAAGACACAGGTAATCTCTTCCATGGAATGTGCTCGAGTCTTTGGGATATATGCCCAGTAAGGGGATTGCTGGATCATATTGCAAGTCTACTCCTCGCTGTTCCCCCTGGTGGCCAACAGAGAAGTGTTGAAATAGTTGTGGTTCAGAATTTGGGCTTTAGCTACTCAGGGAAGATGCCTCTTGGTGGGATGCAGGTGGAAGCCCAGATGGAATCTGTTTTGTTTTTTTTTTTTCTTTTTTTTTTTTTTTCTGGTGGTGCAGATCTGCTTAGGAGCCAGAGTGTCTCTAGCAGCTCCTGGAAACCTGCCATCAAGCATGGATGTCAGGAGTGAGTTGGATCCATCTGTGGTTAGACATAGAGAGACTCAGAGTGCAAGAGAGAGGGTGCTGATTTGATCTATGCTAAAGCGTCCAGCAACTTGTCGGGCAGTTCTGATGTTCACTCATTCATAGTCGCTCTCCGGTTCTAGAGATGGTTGGTAGATATTCTGAAAACATTGGTGAGCTAATAGAGAGAGCAACATCTTCGGTATGACATGTGGAGGACACAGTCTCCTTTCAAGAAGACCTTCTTTACATGGGGGCTGCATGAAAGGTTTTTCCTCGAGTGAACCCTTGTAAGTTCTCTGCTGCACAAGCAGAGGGACCAGTGAGCCCACGGATGGTTGCTCTGGTGACAGATGGTGCCTTGTGGCTAAGGCCTGAGTCACAACTTCATTGTATACAGCCATGGAGCCCCTTAGGCCACCTGGCTCAGGGAAGCTCAACCCAAGGAGGAGGTACCTCTTGGCTCACCCATGGCTACACTGGAGTAGGTGGCAGCGAGAGCGGTGCTGGTGCCTTGAAATGGGAAGCCAGGCTTTGAGCCATCAGAAGCAAAGTTTGGGCCAAGGGGATTTGCAATGGAGCAGAGGTTCTTAGACCTGGCTGGGGTGCCAAGACCCTGGAGGGTGCTGAGTTCAATGGTATCTTCTCTTCCATTCACATCAACCCTGACAGGTTGGTGTTGGGGAAAAAATCCCCCAACAAAGCCCTTCTCTCAGGCTTCCTGGGCTGTGAATGAAGCATATGGGACATCGTGGGGCTTCTGGTAGGGCTTCCTGGGTTCTGGGGTTTCTTGGGAGCTGCTCTGAGAATTCCCAATGACAGTAACTAGGTGCATGGCAGGTGGGGCTCAGTCCTTCGCTCTCTCTTGGGGAAGGTGGAGCTTCATGTAAACTTCTGTTTAATTAGCTCCCAAGTTGAAGAACCTCTATAGCACTAGACTCTGTGTGGTCGGTCGCTGAGTTCCTTTTCACGTGACTCTGACTGCTGGCTCTTCTGCTGGCACCAGGTTAGTTGACACATCCTGGGACTAAGTCTCCATAAGGCTAGTAGCTGCAGGGGAAGCATGAACCATTGGGACCCACCAAGTCCCTCTGACTGGCTAGCTGGAAGGGCTAAAGACTCTCGGACCACTTGCCCTTTGGCGGCTCAGTTCCAGTGTCCCATGTCAGCAACCAGTCACATTGCTTCTTCACATTTCCTCTTTTCTCCAGGGACTCGCGAAGTGGCAGCTAAGCCCAGTGCAATCACCACCCGTCAGCCACAGGCCCGAGAGCAGGAAAGGAAGAAAGGCAGCTTGACTTCCTCTCTGAGGATGGAGCCACACAGCCGTGCTGGGAAGAGCAAAAAGTCTGCCAAATTCCGGTCCATTTCCCGCTCCCTGATCCTCTGTAATGCTAAGACCAGTGACGATGGCTCTAGCCCTGATGAGAGATACCCTGATCCCTTTGAGATTTCGCTGGGCCAGGGCAAAGAGGGAATTTTCCACTCATCTGTGCAGCTGGCAGACACGTCGGAGGCTGGGCCCAGCAGCATTCCTGATCTAGCGCTGGCCTCGGAGGCTGCTCCACTGCCAGCAGCTGGGAGCGATCAAGGCAAGAAGGGTAGGAGAATGTTCTTCATGAAGGTATGCCCAGCCTTGGAGAGGGCCTGGGGTCGGTTTCTGGTTCTATGAACTGAAGTCTTGGATCCATTTGGTCTTTAGCATGCAGGGAGCCAAGGAGTTATGATTCTCAACAGTAAATGGCAAGGGAAGAGTTGAGGCAGATCCAGTTGGAACTGGAGCAGTGAGCATGGGAGGGAGTGATTCAGGCCCAGCAGATACTCTTGCTTGTGGGACTCAAGCACTTTATCAAAGGCATACTGAGTCTAGATCCCTGAGGGGAAATATTGAGTGTAAAAGTCAGTACCCCAAGAAGTTCTCATTGTGAGATAGGCAATCTTGAGAACTCCATGGGCTGGTCAAACTACACATACCTGAGACTTAGCGGAATGGGTGTATAGGGGTCTGGCACTGATCAGGTAACAGGTAGAGCCACCACTTGCAATGCTAGTATCCTTCCCATGTGGATGCTGGTTCGTGTCCTGGATGCTCTACTTCCAATCAAGCTCCTTGCTAACGGCCTGAATGATAGCAGTGGAAGATGGCCTTGGTGTTTGGTTCCATGACACCCACATGGGAGACCTGGATAAAACGCTCGCCTACCTGCCCCAGCACTGGCCATTTGGAGAGTAAAATAGCAAATGAATGATCTGCCCTCTGTCTCTGTAATTTTGTCAACATTCTTTTTTTTAAAAGATTTATTTTTATTATTTTTTTTATTGGAAAGGCAGATATACAGAGAGGAGAGACAGAGAGGTAGATCTTCCGTCTGATGATTCACTCCCCAAGTGAGCTCAACGGCCGATGCTATGCCGATCTGAAGCCAGGAGACTTCCGGGTCTCCCATGCGGGTGCAGGGTCCCAAAGCTTTGGACCGTCCTCGACTGCTTTCCCCGGCCACAGGCAGGGAGCTGGAAGGGAAGCGAGGCTGCCGGGATAGAACCGGCGCCCATATGGGATCCTGGGCGTGCAAGGCGAGGACCTTAACCACTTGCGCCACCGCGCCGGGCCCTCTGTCAACATTCTTAAAGAAATCCTTTTAAAAAAAGAAATCAGAAATGGGTATATAAGACCCAGGTTGGGAGGAAGCCCAGTGGCAAGCAGGGTCCGAAGTTAAGGCTAGGTGAGCCTGCTGTCTGAGTGCTGACTATGACCCTGGCTGGATGCCCTCTGCCAGTTTCAACACAGGTTTGGGTGCTAAGGTTAACAATATAAAGCCAGAAGTAATAGTTGTGACCTGCCAAGATGCGGAATGCTTCTTTTCTATTAGACTTCCTAACGCTGTAGTTGTCCTGATGGCACAGAGGTGGCTGGGTACCCGTGAGATGCAGGCAGATGTGAAGGCTTGACTCAGCTGAGCCCCTCTGGTGCCTTCTACCAAGAAGTGATCTCTCAAGGAGCTTTGGCTCATGACTGTTCTCCCAGTGATCTCCCAAGTGGCTGTGTCCTGCAAAGAGGGGAGGAACTCCAGGGCCTTTGAATGGAGTCAGAACCTTTGTCCCTCTCTCCTTCTGTAGTGCTGCCAACACATGGAGACAGCTCCAATGACCTCCAGAGAGCATCCTCACATCCCCTGCCCGACAGCCCCTCTGCCACCATCCCGGCAGCTCTCCTGGGTCATGGCCCCTCCTGACCTGGGCTGCTAAAGGAGAAGGAGAATGCAGTGCAGGGAAAAGCAGATGGCATTCCAATCCAAAAGTCAGATTGATTTCCTACACCCCAACGTTCGCCAGACTAGAACTCAACCACACAGAACTCAGTCATCACTTCAGGATCCTGGCAGATTCCTATGAAGCATGATGATGCCAGGTCATTGCATCGTGGTCTCCTGAGCCTCTCTGACTCTGAGCCCCTCTTACAAGTCCAGGTCCTGCCCTCAGAAAATGTGTTTAGAGTCAATACTATACTCCCAGAAGGAGGGAAGGCTAGGAGGGCTGTAGGGGCCTGCGGAGGGTGTGTTCAGAGGAAGATGGAAACATGTCTGGGCTAGTGGGGGAGGGGTGTCCTTTCCTTCTCTCAGGAAACAGCCAAGGAGCACCTGCAGGTGCCAGGTGCTGCTGCAGGAAGGAAGCAAAGCAGGGACCCTACCCTTGTCTAACTTGTATTCTGGTAGCGGGTCACAACTCAGTGTGACAACTCAGCCCACGAAAGGTCGTTGAGTAGGGAAACCTCTGAAGAAGTCATAAGCAGGATAAGGGAAGAGAGAAAGCATGAAGAGATTGGCAAGGTTATTACAGAGACTTCTCCAAACAAGAGCCTGCAGGAGGCAGAGGAGTGAGCCATGGAGGCCAGGAGGCCGCCGCAGCAGAGGGAACGGCATAGGCAAAGGCAGGACAAGGGTGTGTGCGCAAGGAGCATCAGGGAGACAGAATGCATGGGAAATAGCAAGGGGGAAGGCCGGAGACAAAGCCAAGGTGGCAGCCAGGAGCTGGGGAGAGGACTGTGGCAAGTACTTGGTGGTTTATTTTAAGAAGGCTCGGAGACTGAGGAAGGAGAGGAAAGTCAGATTTATGGCTGGAAGGAGCACTCTGGCAGGTGGACCAGGAACCAGGCATGCAGAGAAGCTGTCTTGGGGTGCTGGCATAACCCAGGCCAACAAGGGTGTAGCTTGGACCCGGGAAGGAAGTATGAGGGCAGGAGAGGTTGGAGAACCAGAGAGGCACTGGGGTGGGGCATATTTTCTGGGTAAAGCTGACATGGCCTATTGCTAGAAGGAAGTTGTGTCCTGAGTACTCCAGAAGGAAGGAAGGGAGGGAGAGAGGAAGGGGTGCCCATGTCCTAACCAGGGGCACAGAAGGGACATGGGAAAGGCGGACAATGTAGGCTGATTTATGAGAGAGCAAGGTTTTTCCTTGGCAGGCAGGTATGGGTTTGTGGGATAGGATTCCTGCAGGAGGGATTTTGTATCAGCAATGTGCTCCCCATCCTGCAGGAGCGAGTCTGCAACTTGGGGTCTCTGCAGGTGCAGGAGAAGCTGGGTCCTTGGGAGAAGACAGAGGGCCAGGGGTCAATGTGGGCATGGCAGGAGGCAAGTGGGAGAGCCCAGGACAAGCTTTTTCTTCTCTGTCCTTTGGTCAGTTTGCAAAGTGCTTCTGGTCATTACTCTCTTCCCGCCAACCCTTGGGAGGACTGTAGTCACAGCAGAAGACGGAGTGTCCTCTGGGTGGGTGGGTGGGTGGGCTTTCACCCTGACTCCTCCTGGATGGTCTCTACCTTTTAGGCTTCTTGCGGGTGAGGTCCCTGACAATCTAATTTGAATCTGAATGCCGCCATTGTTTCACCTGTTAAAGAGAGAAGGTTCACAAGGCTGTGTACACTCTCCTGGGATTTAGCAAAGTCGAGTTACTAAGCATTGGTATGAAAACATCCAGTTACAACAGTACCAGGCATATGGTAATTGCTTGATGAATATCATTATCTTCCTGTTGTAGTATGAGGGCACTGTTTTTGAGCGCAGGAGTTAACAAGTCCAGCAGCCTTCTAGGTATGGTCCTCAGGATGCCAGTTGGTGGGTAAGAGTCCATAAGGAGATGCTATTTGATGATCCTGATTTGAGGAACACAAACTGTTGGGACAGTGCCAGTGTCCCACAGCCTACCCTCCACCCCCGTCCTGAGGACTCATGGACCCAACACCTACCATGCAGGTGGGCACAAAGACCTTGGTTAGGAGACCCATATCCACCAGATCCCCTACTCCTGGGGCTCTCAGACCCAGCACCTACCATGCAGGCAGGCCCCAGGATCTGGATCACGTAAACTGGAACCTGCCAAACTCATCTCACCCACCTCTCCTGGGACTCGTAGACCCAGCATCTACCATGCAGGTGGGCCCAGGGACTTAGACCAGGAGTCCCAGGCCCTCCAAACCCCTACCCCTGGGGCTCATGGATCCAGTACCCACCTTACAGGTGGGCTGAAAGTCCTGGGACAGATGACCCAGGCCCCTCTGGACTCCCAGGCCTTAGGACTCATAGATCCGACACTCATCACCCAAGTGGGTTGCCCTAGGACTTGGGCCAGGTGACCCAGGCTCAGCCACACCCCCCACCACCCCACTTACCCCTGGGGCTCACAGATTCAGCCCCGACTGCACAGGTAGGTCCAAGGACCCAGGCTAGGTGACCTGGACCCCACCGGCTCCCCACCGGCTCCCCACCGGCTCCCCACCCTTCTGTGGGATTCTTGGACCCAACCCCCCACCCCTTGGTACAGGTGGGTCCAAGGACCTGGGCCAGGAGAGTCTATTAAAGACTCCAGTGCACTGGGTGGAGCCACCTCTTGTGATGCAGGATCCCATATTTGAGTTCTTACTTTAAGTTATAGCTGCTCTGCTTCCAATCCAGCTTCCTGCTAATACACCTGGGAAAGCAGTAGAAGATGGTTCAAGTCTAAGGGCCTGTGCACTCATGGGGGAGACTCCTGGCTTCAGCTTGGCACAGCCCTGGCTATTGTTGAATCAGAAGTTGGAAGCTTTCTCTGTCCCTCTCTTTCACTCTTTGTTGCTCTGCCTTTCAAATAAATTAATTTAAAAAATCCATTAGTGAATTTTGAGCAAGCGTGGGTTTTAGTTGTCTGAGCAGGGCTCACCAAGGATGTGGGGAAATGTCACAGGTGAGAGCTGGTGCCAATATTCCTTCCACTCAGGGGCACACCCACCTCTGTCTCACTCTTGTGGCTGCCCTGGACTGCTTCCTTCCCTGCCATTTCTTTCTGCCCTGGAGCTGTCCCTGTAGGACATGACTCAGTTGGCCTGGATGGACTCCTCAGCCCCCAGCAATGCCATGGTTACTCGGAGTTCAACACAAACTCTGGAATGAGGTCCCCGTGACCTCAGCCTTTCCTCTGACGTGCCTCATGAAAAGTAAAGAAGAGGAAGTCTTAAGGCAGCTGGCATACACTTTTTTTTTAAAGCCTGATGAGGAATTGTGTTTGGCACAAACTGGGACTGAGTAAATGTGCCCATGGACACACACACGTGGGTGTCACCAGAGCTGGATGGACACACCCGTGGGTGGAGTCCCC